TATATATATATATGCATGCACACACACAGTATAGTGCAAAATGAAGTCAGAGCAGCATATAGCGACCTGCTCTACTACAGTTAAAAGTGGGAGTGAATCATCAGTTTTTCAGTCAGGAGGCATATATGAGGACCTGTGGGTAGAAGCTTTTATCGAGTCTGTTTGTGGCAATAGCTGTTTGCATAAAGTCATACCACTAAAAGTAGACAAGAACACTCTTTTTGTAATCTCGGTAATGGATCCTTAGCTGGGAAAAGCATCCATTTATTTTCAGTTCTTTGCTTTAAAGTGCTGCACTCATCCCTAATTAACTGTTTATCACTGTGGGCTTAGAATACACTTCCTTTGGCGGTAACCCTGCTGTCCTCTCCTGTGTGTAGCCTCTCTTGTCTTCCTGGTTTGTTCACATTTGTCACCCTGAGCGCGTCTCTCATTGTCATGGTAACTGTAAAGTCGCTCGTCATTGGTAATTGAAGTTATACATGTGAGCTTCACTGCTGTGTTGCTCAGGCTGATTTATATGAACAAACCAGCTGGGTCCACACATTACATGGATGACTCCTGAGACGGTGACTCATTTTCAATCTCGCTTCACAGATGAGAACGCACAGAAGCAGGCAGACGACCTCGGCCTCCAGTTTACAGACACGTTCGTCCAGGATCCTGAGCACGTAACCCTGCTCCTCACTCTGCTGGAGGTACAGAGTGGTTTTGATCCAGCAGCAGAAAGTCTGTATTGTTAAATTTTTCCTGACCCCCGTCTGATGCTTTTCTGCATTTTTAGGAGTTTGACTTTCATGTACGGTGGCCCGGAGTGAAGCTGCTGACTGCTCTGCTGAAGAACCAGGGTCCACAGATCCAGGGTATTATTCTGGTCAGCCCCATGGGTGAGTTTCTTATCTCTGCATTATATCGAACTTTGTCACGTCGGGAATTTATTGCTTTAACAGCAACATTTTTTGTTTCTGTTTACTCTCACAGGTGTTTCCAGATTGATGGACCTGCTGGCAGACTCCAGAGAAGTAATTCGCAATGATGTAAGCACACTTACATTTTGTATTACACTGTATTTGAACCCCTTTGAAACAGAGTGTTGAGTAGAGGTCTGTTTGAGTCTGTGACATTTTGTTTTCTGCCACCATCAGGGCTTGTTGCTACTTCAACAGCTGACTAAAAGCAACGCTGCCATTCAGAAAATTGTGGCATTTGAGAATGCGTTTGAACGCCTCCTAGATATCATCACAGAAGAAGGCAGCAGCGATGGAGGTAAATGGATTTTTACACAGAATTGTTACTGAACAATACGATCCTACCTCTTTTCTCTAAACACAGTGGTTTGTTTTGTTTTTTTTGGGGGGGGGGGTTTGGCTTGTGATATATCCTGACATCTGTCCTCTTTCTTGTGTGCAGGTATTGTGGTAGAGGATTGTCTGCTTCTTCTCCTCAACCTGCTAAAGAACAACAGCTCCAACCAGAACTTCTTTAAAGAAGGTTCCTACATCCAGAGAATGAAGCCCTGGTTCGAGGTTGGTGACGATAACTCTGGTTGGTCTGCACAGAAGGTCACAAACCTTCATCTCATGCTGCAGGTAATATCTCTAATCGTTATCTTGATCTAAGTACTATTTAAAAAAACAGCTGAATATTATTTGTTAAAACTCTTAAATAACTGTTAAATAATGTTGTAATCCCAGCTGGTGCGAGTCATGGTGTCTCCAGTGAACTCTCCTGGAGCTACAGCCAGCTGTCAGAAGTCCATGTTCCAGTGTGGCCTACTGCAGCAGCTGTGCACCATCCTCATGGCCACTGGTGTCCCTGCAGACATCCTCACTGAGGTAATCACAACAACCCGCTCGTTAAGTCTGGGACCATTAGCCATTGAAGCATTCAAAAGCTTCTTTAGTTCTCACAGCAAACAAGTGCTGAGGCATGTCTGAGAGGTTAAAACGTACGGTATCACATTCGAATTCAGAGAGGTCCTAACATTTATGTTTGTATGGTTTATACAGCAATGGCAGTGGAACCTAAACACATCAATTCAAAGAGAATAGAATAGAATAAACCTTTATTATCCCACGGATGAGAAATTTCGGTGTTACAGAACTCTTACAGCAAGGGGAAATAAAATATAAAAGGAAGACACAAGGTGGTCCTATAAACATAAGCAAGTTCGTATGTACAGGTATGTACAGGTAACAATGTACAGAATATGTATAGAAAAATTGTACGGAGACATGTATAAAATGTACAGTAAACAAACAAGCTGGTGAGTAAGATGACCAAAAGAATGTTAAGCTGCATTATAGAGTCTGACAGCTGCTGGTAAGAATGTACCTGCGGTAGCGCTCCTTCCTACACTCTGGGTGTAAAAGTCTACTTCTGAACGAGTGCAGTCTCATGCAGGGACTGTCCGTGATGGATGTTACCTTAGACAACATCCTCTCCAACTTGCTCGATGGACTTCAGCGGAGAATCCAGGACAGAGCTGGCCCTCCTGACCAGTTTGTTGCGGTTCCTCCTGTCCCTCTCTGCCATTCCACCACTCCAGCAGACCACAGCATAGAAAATGGCAGACGCCACCACAGTGTCGTAAAATTTCCTTAGGAGTGGCCTGTTCACCCCGAAGGATCTCAGCCGCCGTAGCAGGTGGAGACGACTCTAGATCCTTTTGTAAAGTGCATTTGTGTTTGTGGGCCAGTCCAGTTTGTTGTTGAGGTGAACACCCAGGTATTTATACTCCTCCACTGTTTCAATGTCCAAACCCTGGATGTTCACTGGTGTAATAGGGGCTGGCTTTTTGCTGAAGTCAATCACCAGCTCCTTCGTTTTGCTGGCATTGATGCAAAGAGGTATTTGATGACCCCTTGTATTCCAGTTCATTTCCCTCCGACACCCGACCCACAATGGCGGTGTCGTCTGAGAACTTCTGGAGATAGCAAGTGTCCGTGTTATAACTGAAGTCCGCAGTGTACAGGGTTAAGAGGAAAGGGGCGAGTACTGTTCCTTGTGGGGACCCCGTGCTACAGACTACCACCTCAGACAGTAAGAGGTGTGGTCCAATACTTTCCTTCATGTCATGCATCAGCACAGCTGCATTTAGGACAAGGGTTTAAATTCTCCTGAAAAACATGTTATGTTTTGGGTCGGTCAGTAAAGTAAAGTGGCTGCGGGTGACTCATTGATAGACAAATGTAATCATATTGAAGGAAGAAAACCAAAAATTAAAATGACTTCGGACAAGAGCGCTGGGAGGATCCCATCCACAATGAGGATAGCAGTGGTGTGGCTTGAATTGTTTGCTGACAAATAGTTATTATCCTAAGATCAATGTCCACACTGAAATCTTGGTCGGCCAGACAGTGATTTATATTTTGTGTCTGGGATACTGTGAGCCCAGAGACTTTAGGGTACACTGGGAGTTTCTAAAGCTTAAAGACATGCCTCTGTATGGGGCTAATTAAAATCTAGAAAGGTCCAGATTGACATTTGGGGAAAAAAATGCATCAAATTAAAAAGATGGGAGCTTTGTGCATTGCAGGAGACACTTCGACATGGAAACTGGTTTGATATGTCATGATACTTAGAGTAACAAAGCTGAAAAAAGATGATTTTTGTTGCTCAGCAGTGATCTTATGCAGATTAATGATCGTGACTTTGATTTGGATGCTTTCTTTCAGACCATCAACACAGTTTCAGAGGTTATCAGAGGCTCTCAGGTCAACCAGGACTATTTTGCTTCTGTCAACGCTCCATCAAACCCACCAAGGTAAAAACACAACCAGTGGACTGACCTGTTAAATCGCCTTTATCCATCTAAATCCTATGGTGACCTCTCTTCTTCATGTCCCCACAGACCAGCCATTGTGGTGCTGCTCATGTCCATGGTGAACGAGAGACAACCATTTGTGCTTCGCTGTGCAGTCCTTTACTGTTTTCAGTGTTTCCTCTATAAAAACCAGAAAGGCCAGGGGGAGATAGTTGCTACACTGCTGCCCTCCACCATTGATGGTCAGTAACAGTTTCAGGTCCTATAAATAAATAACATGTGGTCTGTGCTTTTAGATGGTTCACACTGTTTTAAGTGCTTAATAGCTCACTTTTTTTCTGCCTTTTAGCCAATTCCATCTCTGCAGGACAGCTGCTGTGTGGAGGCTTGTTCTCAGCAGACTCTCTTTCAAACTGGTGTGCTGCTGTGGCCTTAGCTCATGCCCTGCAGGACAACCTCACCCAGAAAGAGCAGCTGCTGAGGGTTCAGCTTGCCACCAGCCTGGGCAAGCCCCCTGTGTCTCTGCTGCAGCAGTGCACCAACATCCTTTCCCAGGTAGGGCAATGATGATACAGAGGAGCGTGCTGATAGGCTGTGTGTCTCCGTTTGCCATAGGTTTCTTAAAACAGCACTATTGTCGATCACAGTGAAGAGAACAGTGTCACATTATTGTGGTTTTGCAGGGTGATAAGATCGTCCGGCGGGTGAGTAAAGTGTACCTGTGTGTGAGTGTTTGGGTGGCACCTGTCTGTGTTATGTTTTTGGCTTGGCAGTTGTAGTAGGGGTCTTGTTGGCCCACTTGTTGGGGGATCTTGCTTCCTTATAACTCTTTACTACCCGATCTTTGTCCCTAACTGAAAGCTTTGACCCAGCGCTTCCTCATTAGGGTGACACACAAGTGAACTCCTCCTCACACACCTGTAAGATGTGGTTGCTGTCAGTGTTTTCACCAGGGGCTTGTGGGGAAGTACACAGGTGGACACCCGAGAGAGGTTCAGAGAAAAGGGACACATTGGCTGTTTTTAATTGTTTATCTCTGGTGCTATCATCCTGACACCTACTTTAAACTTTGAACTTTGTTTGCTGTGCTGCAAGCCCTTATCTGTTTGTTCAGGAAGTGATTACTGCAGCAACTTTTGGGCCTTCTCCTGTTCAAGTGAGTGACTGTCACTGCTTTTTGTCCTGCATGGCGCACAGCAAAACTGGCAGATGATTTATAGGACTGTGTATGATTTTTATGTCTTCCTTTGGGTTCAGATATTTCTGAACTGGAAATCCCAAATAATGGGATCAAAGAGTCCTTGTAAAACATAACCTTGGTACCAAAACAGATTTAAAAACTAACTTCATGCTGCTGAAAGGCTCCAAATTACTGCTGGTACTTATCTGTTGTGAAACAACTTGATAAAGATAAACGTACTTTGAACTCCTATTGCTTGAGGCCTGAGGTTGGTCTTTGGATACTCACAACCTCTAAGCCTTGGTGTGCTCAAGTTTCCTACCAAGAGCTTGACGGTCACCTCCTGTAAAAGAGGAAGTGAAATCATTTCATGTTTCAGAATTATTATCACTAATGAAAACCCTCAGCGTGGTTAGGTAGTTTGTGCAAGAGCCACATTGTTATGTGTCTGCGACGGACATTTGCATCCAACCTCCATTACCTGATATCCAGCCTGATGAACATGGGAAAACTGTTCAACTAAGGCAGCTGGTATGAGCATGTGCTGTCTGGTGGGCCCTGGTGCTCCGTTTAAAAACTGTAGAGGGCACTCCTGCAGGTTTGCTTTCCCATTTTAGTGTTATTCAAGTATCTCAGGATCTTGTTCATAAGTGTGGGTGAGATGGAACCACAAATCCAGGACTGTGCTCAAGTGTAAAGTGGCTAAGGCTTCAGTCACTCAGGCTTGAAGGCCATCATCGACTAACCTAATTGCTTGCTGACAAGTTATAGTGGCATGCTAGTGACCAAAGGAGGTTATCAGTACAGGACTGTTATGCTTCATCATGTAGACTTCTGCAGAAAATCTATGTCATAACTTACGAACCGGAAACGCCGTTGTAAACCTACACTGTAACCTTCCATGACAGCTGACGTGTACCTCCCGAGAAATGTAACTACACATCGGATCAAGGCAGCTGATGTACCCAAACTACTCAGTGATGTGGAAGAGTGCAGCAAAGGGTTAAGAGGGTTTTCTGGTTACAACATAGATTTTGTGCAGGAGTCTAAATCAGTCTCTTCATGACTAGTTTGCCCTAATGTGCCTGTCAGCTGCTACTCACCAACCTATTGTGGAATAATTATTATTTTTTTTTTTTTTTTTGGGGGGGGGTTGTCCTGGCTGGGGGGTAACTGATTATTTTCTAGGATTATGGTAATGATGCTTTAGTAAACAATTTCACAGAAACACCCAGCAGCAACTTGCCATCCAATTGACAAATACACCTTTTTCACATTCATACGAGCCACACCTCTTCTGACTTCCAGTCTCAGGCTGGCAGCAGTGCAGCCCATTAGACAGTTGTAACTGGATAGCTGTGCCTTGATGTGATGTGTTGTGTTGGTGGTTTCCTGGAAGAGATACAGAAGTGGAAATGTTTCCTCTAAGATTATTTTGTATTATGAAGCTGTGTCACACAGCATTTGCTTTACATAAGTCAATTTCAGCAATGTCTCAAGTGTTAATGGTCATCAGTGCCCCCCACACACATATTACGTCTTTGTAGAGACCAGGCCAATGTGTGCTCAGTTGACGCCTGTGGTGGTCATTGTCTTTTCTTTTGTTTTCCTCTTCATTTTATTTATTTTGCATTGCGTCACATTTGGAGACAAAAGCTGAAAAGGTGATTTTTGTAAGTTTTTATAGTTTTGAATGCTGATTAGTTTTTATCCACACCTTCACTGCTTACTCAGAGAGCTCCTTTCTTAAAAGCATGTCGCGCGTTAAGTGTTAATGCACCTGTTGATTGGCAGTCTTAAGCCACAATTTAAACTTAACAGGTTTTTGCTCATCTCCGTACCGCATCACACTGTTGTTTTTCATCATCTCATGTTCCAACTCCATGAAAATCATCCTGTCTTCCTTTCAGTGATAGAGATGACATATCCACTCGCTGGCATCAGTTTCCCATAAATGTGCGCATTTGAGGGACGTTTTTTTATAAAGAAGGGAAAAAATCCACATTGAGCTCTTTTAAAGATCTTTAAGCTGTTTTAATAATAATGAAATAATTTGTCATTAAAAAAAAAAAAAATCCTGAAAAGCACATTTAGCGGGGTTTGCTTTGCATGTGCTGACAGCTGGAAATGAGATAGTTTCCGTTGCAGTTTCATAACACTTTGCAATCAATTATTTTCAAAGCAAACTGATTTTATTGTTGATCATGTAGTTATTTTATTTATTTACATTTTTTTTAGTAATTATCACAGGATTGCTTGCTCTGATAAATCTAACCTCAGTCTAAATATCTTAATGTTTTTGTTTTGACTGTCCTTATGATAACCTCATTAACCACTAATGTATGACATGTGTTGAAGGATTACTTTAACCATTTCCTTATTTTTATTGACCAGAAAAGGACATGCATTGTTTTAACTTGGCCATTTCCACTGATAGGGATGCTTAATTGTTGCTGTACCAGCAAATCCAATGCTTCTTTTTCAATGTAATTTACCATTTTAGAGCTAACATCTATACTCCGCTCATGCTCTGATGAAATGGCTGCTTACTAGATACGTTAATTGGTTAAGTAATCTGGATCCAACCTCTAAACTATTCCCAGTCACGTTTAAATGTGACGAGGATTCAGTCTGACTCTCTTTTCTGTGTTTTTTGTCGTGTAGCATCGTGTTTTTGTGTTTCTAAGTGTCACTGTAGTTCTACAGAAACACGTTGACTCTCCTTCTGTCTTGTTGTTTTTCTCTGCAGGGCAGTAAAGTGCAGACCAGGGTGGGCCTCCTCATGCTGCTGTGTACATGGATCAGCAACTGTCCGATTGCCGTTACGCACTTTCTGCACAATCAAGAAAATGTTCCTTTTGTATCCTTTTGTCAGTTTTACTACTTCATAGGGTTCTTAATGCCTCGTAAACAAGTTATTTATTATGCTTTTTTCTTTTATTCAGTTTAATTTTGTGTTTAGGTTAAAACCTCTCATTCAGTCTTACTTAAAATGTGCAGCTTTACTTGGATGAGTCCTTGACACTGACTCTTGTAGCTGACTGCTCAGATCTCAGAGAACCTGGGGGAGGACGAGAGGCTGGTGCAGGGCCTGTGTGCGCTGCTTCTCGGCATCTGCATCTATTATAACGACAACTCGCTGGAAAACTATACCAAGTAAATCTCTTTCACTCACTCAAACATGTGCATGCTATAATTAGGTTTACCTAACATGTTTGGTGACAGAACGACAACAATACTCAGTATACACACAAGTAAACACATTATTATGGTGATAAGTTAAAAAATATAGATTACATGCATTTCACAAATCAGATTTTCATCATTTCAGCTGCTATATATCCATCATTTGTGTATCTAAAGTGTTTAAATGAGAGGTACATTGTTTAAATGTGGTGTCTTTGTCCCCTGATTTGACAAATTTAAAACAAATAAAAATCTGTTTAATATTGTGACAAAGCTACTGTGCTCTCTCCTCTTCAGAGAGAAGCTAAAGCAGCTCATCGAGAAGCGGATCGGAAAGGAAAACTTTGTAGAGAAGCTGTGCTTCATCACCAAACATGAACTGTATTCGCGGGCGGCTCAGAAGCCGCAGCCCGTCTTCCCGTCTCCAGAGCAGATGTTGTTCGATCATGAGTTTACCAAGCTGGTCAAAGAACTGGAAGGTCAGTCCCGTCACATTCATCCTAACAAGAACAGTTTAAGAGAACTATTGCAGAGTTTCAGTTGGCCTAACGAGTTATGTTCTTCTCCCTACTTTTCCACAGGAGTGATAACCAAAGCAGTTCACAAGTCTAGCGAGGAGGAGAAGAAGGAAGAGGAGGTGAAGAAGACGTTAGAGCAGCACGACAACATTGTGACTCAGTATAAAGAGCTGATCAGAGAGCAGGTAAATAACACAATTTTCATTTTGTTACATGTTGTGTTTGTTCAGTTTGATATACTCTCCTGCTGACAGATTGATTTTTGATCACATGATCCTCAGGACGCTCAGCTTCAGGAGCTGAAGGAGCAGGTGGCATGCATGACCTCCCAGAATGAACAGCTGCAGGCTACAATCACCCAGCAGCAGTCGCAGATCCTGCAGCACAAAGACCAGTACAACATCCTCAAGCTGAAATTAGGTGGGTGCACCTCATCGGCTGTGTGTGTGGTGTGAATTTAGATACATAAAATATAGAGATTTAGTTCATTTAAAATACATTTTCTCATAATGAATGAGAAATGAGGGACTGACATGCAGGATTTTAATCCTATCAACCTCATTCCGGCGGGCACATTAAGCTTTTACTGCCCCCTTGCTCAGATAATAGAGCGACAGGGATGTGCAGCAACATCCCCAGATACTGTTTTATATCAAATTGTGCGAGACCGTCACGCACACAGCCACGTTTCATAGGAGCAATTTACTTTGTTTCATAAACAAAATGTTAAAATGAAATTTTGTAGCTCACAGACATGTAAAAGCTGAGTATCTCTAGCCTGTTACTTAGAATCAGAGTTCAGCCAGAACCTCGTAGATAGGAGACTGAAATTCAGAGGTTTATTCACAAATGGTGATGTAGCTGCTGCAGGACGGCGATTTAACTGCAAAATTGTGCCCATGCTGGGTTCTGGGTACTCTGGATTTCTCCAGTGGTCCAAAGACATGCAGTTAGTGGGGTTAGGTTAACTGGTGATTATAAATTTCCCATAGGTGTGAATGTGAGTGTGCGAGTCTCTCTGTGTTAGCCCTGCGACAGACTGGTGACTCGTATAGAGTGTACCCTTCCTGTCGCCCTAAGGTACCTGGGAAAGACTCCCCCTGTGACCCTTACTTGGACAAGCTGAAGAGGGTGGATGGATGACATAGGCTCACCTACCCTGCTCTGATGTAGCTGACTTGTCCCATATTGCAGAGAGACTGACTTGAGCACAGAGTCAAATTGATTGCAAAGTGTTAGTAAGTGGTCTGTTGATAAATTAGATGACAGTTATTTCCAAACCTTTGTCAATCTGTCTAAGAATGTTTACAGTCAGTCCAAATTAGGCCATGATTGTTTGGAGACAGGCTGCTTTAACTTTTGGATTAACAGTGGTCACAATGGCCAGATAGTTGCTGCAACTTCTTGCAGTTTGTTGCTAAATGCAAAGATTTCAATGCAGTCACCAGTAAACCACCAAGCTTCCCTCTCCTTCTACTCACGAGAAGGTTGCTATCCCATTTTTACTCCAGCGTGATTGAGCCTTAAATCAGCTCAGGATTGTAGATTTAGGGATAACATCAGCATCAGTATTGCTGTTGTTAACACTTAAACTGAGTGTTTGTGCTCTAACTTCAGCTAAAGAGAACCAGGGTCAGTCCAACAGCCAGGGAGACGGCTCTCAGGTGAACGGGCTGCAGACAGAGGAGCTGACCCAGCTCAGAGAGGAGGTGGAGGAGCTCCGCAAACAGCACTCGCTACTTCAAACACAACTTGGTGACAAAGATGCTCTCATCAGCAGCCTGGTTAGTATCTTTTTTTCTTTTCTTTTTAAGTCTGTGTGTACTGGCATTGTTGTTCTGGGGGCTGATTCCAGAGAGATGTTTTAAAGCTGTTTTGATGCGTTTGTTGGTGTAAAACAACTGTAGGCAAAATAGTCCTCCAAACAGCTGACTGACACACGGGGAGCAATGTGGACTCTATACAACCACCAGAGATTAATCAATTGATTTGGACTGATACATTGCTTTCTATGTCTTATTTTAGAATAAACACTTATTATATCATTATAATGTTTAAACCACACCTGTAGAATAAATTAGAAGATGAAGATTAACCAGAAAACACTACTGCAACTATAAACATGCAATCCAAATCCAAAGACACAAAGAAACCTTTACGTTTAAACTTTGACATATCTGGATATGGGAGCTTCTAAAAACTGCTTCATGTCTGTATTTGGGTTAATCACATAGTTACATATCGTATCTGGAGTGAAAGTGACTGCATAATGTTTTAACTCTGTGTAACTGTAGAAATCAGGAGCTGCACAGACAGCAGAGGGTCCAGCAGGAGGATCAGACGACACAGAGCTGCTCCAGGTGGGATTCATCACTTCACACCTGTCCCTGCTTTTCCTTTGAACCCCCTGTTTGCTAAAAATGTTTCAAAAGGTTAAGCGCATGAGGCAAATGCTTGTTTTGTCACTAAATAAGTGTTCGAATTGCTCTTGTGACTAACAGAGAGGTAAATCTTTAAGTGTACCGTTTTATTTTCACTTTTATTGACATAAATATTCAAGATGATTTATGATGTTTACATGTATGCAAGAGGGTGTGACTCAAGCCTGAAGAACCTCTCAGGAAGTGCAGCGCTACAGCTTGCTTTAGAGTATTAGTGGTTTTAGGACGGGATGGACTTCTGGGACACAGACTTTGTACTCGGATTACCTTATTTTCTCTCACAATAAGAATTATATATGTCACCAGAGTTAACCTGGAGGCATTAATCAGATCGGGTGTTAGTATTTTGTACATGTGCTGAATGTGTGCTGTGTTGCAGGAACTGGAGGCTTTAAGAAGTCAAGTTCAGTCCCAGTCAACAGAAATCGGCCAGCTGAAGATGGAGAGACAAGACCTGCTCAGAAGAGCTGAAGTCGGGGTAAAAATCATGAGAAGATCAATTTGACATAGATTTGCTGAAGTTGTTTAAAACTAATGAACCTTTCTCTGGCTTCTCTCAGTGCTCTGACACACTCCCCTCTAGTGACAGCTCATTAGATGCTGCAAAGATGGCTGAACTGGAGAGCAGGCTGGGAGCGCAGACGTCTGAGATGGAGAGACTAAAGGTGCGTGAGAATATGTGATCCTCTAAATCACTTGACCCTCATTTACCGTAATGTTTTTATACTGCATTCAGCTTGGACTTCTCATATATTAACTCCCTCTCTCCCGTCTCCTTCCTCTCCCTCTGCGGCTCAGGCAGAGGTAAAGAACCTGTCGGAGAGCCGGGCGGAGCTGGAGAAGCGGCTGGATTCAACTACGAGCACGGTGGCCATCCTGCAGACGGAGAAGGAGAAGCTGCAAACTGACGTCCAGGAGTCCAAGAAGGAGCAGGATGACCTGCTGATGTTGTTGGCAGACCAAGACCAGAAGATCACCAACCTGAAGAAGAGACTGAAAGAGCTGGGAGAGACGGTAGGAAAGCTATTAGCATTTTCTAAAATCACCAGTATAAAATGTATAGTTTTCACTGCCAATCTGCCTCGTTTATCCAAACATAAGGAACAAATTAGTTCAGCCCACTAAAATTCAACAGTAGAAATTATGAAATATCTAATAGCCTCACATTTAAATAATATGAATATTTTTGTTAATTTTAGGAATATTTTGTTAACGGGACACCCAGCAGATTTTGGGACTGATTACTTCCCTGCATTAGTATTGTCATACAGCAAAATGGGTGTCACAGAGAAAATGAACATCCACATGAGGTGGAGCTGCTGTTTCAGCCTTTTACCTCTAGTTTTGTTCTCAGGCTAGTAAAACACGCAGCCCCATCAACCTCCAGCAGTAAGGTTGAGAATTTTCTTTAAAAGTTTTGAGTGAGAGGAGAGAAAGATGACCAGTAACATCCAGCAGAGATCCCAGGTCAGAGTTTGGTTCACCAGGTCCCCTCAGGTAGCCGTAGGCTCTTGGAAGTCTTTATGCCTACGCCTTCTTATGCCAAAAGAAAATTGTCTCAAGCTGAACTGACAATGAGCCACGAGACTTTTGCAAGTTTGCACTTTGATGAATATTCTCCAGAGGACGATCTTAAAATAGAACAAACATCAGGGTAACACTGCTTGTTTCTAACATCCTGTATCACAGACATTAAATTAGCACAGTGTTGTTATTGAAACTATGACATATCTCATGATATTGATGTGGCTCTATGACAGTTGGTGTAAAATTGATTTGATTGCAGTTTTTAAAATAGCTTAAATATGTTTTTCAGTTGTGAGAGTTTTGATTAGATAGCCAGTTATGGAGGATTTGAAAGTGCTGGAGAAGAAAAAGTTGGATTAAGTATAAAATTTCAAACTGTCCCTTGTTTTGTTTTTTTTTGTTGTTTTGTTTTGTTTTTTTTGTTTTTTTTACCCCAGTGTAGTATGTATGTAGTCTGATCTAAACTTTCCCCAGATTATTCAGTCTGATCTAAATAAATGAACAGTGAGTTGATTCTGATTAGCGAGGATTCAAAATAAAAACGACCACACTGCAGCCTCAGTCACACATGCCGAGACGGCGGTAACTAAAATGTCTATTCACCGACTGGTTGGCTAGTGGTTTCTGGCTGTCACCAAGTGAAAATGGCTGCAAAGAGGGTGCTGCAGTCTTCTTATGATTGATTTTCGTTGCAAGCAGGTTGCAGTAGCCCACAGTTTGCATGCAAGGAATTCATGAGTGTTTGCAGGTTACACACAAACTACGGGTGACCACCGCAATCTGTGGTGCAGCACTGGTTAACTTTATGCACCTGTTGTTGTTTTCTTGTTTTTTTTTTTTGTTTTTTTTTCCCCCCACTATCAACTGTGAGCAACCTACAGCAACCGCTCACCAACTGGTTGGAGACTACAGGTTGTCTCCAGTGACCTGTGTCTGCTTTGTGGTCTCAAAGCCTGTGTGATTGTGGCCTATAGGGGTTGGAATTGACTCTTTTTAGTCATTCATCTTATTTTTCATTGCCAAACAAACAAAAAAAACCCCAGCAAGATTTTAGTGTCTAGTCTTGGACTAAGTATCATTAAAGCTTGTTTGCTGTCGTGGTAGCTTTAGCAGTGAGTAATTATTTAATAGTTACAGAGGAATAGATGCAAACACGTAAGTGCGAACCACTCAGTTCTGTTTCGTCTGTCTGCTTTAGTTAGACTGTGACCCTTTCCTTGCAGGTGGAAGATGAAGATGACCTCGACACCAGGGACCAGACAGACGATGATGATGAGGAGGATGAAGATGAGGACTAGAGAAAATCAGTGAAAGGAGAAAAAGGAGAGAAAAGACTGCAGAAACGCACCTGAGAAACTGAGGACTAAAATATGGAAGCAGTTTCTCGTCCGGGCTGCCATGCTGTCTTCTTCTTTACTCCAACACATGTATGCGTTAGTTTTTGGACATTTTTAGTTCAAGATGACGATGTTCTTTCCAAAAACTCAATTTTCAGCGACAGCTGAGAGGTTTAAACATGTCAGTGTATTCATCTCTGCTGCATTCACCATCAGTTTGTGATGGATTTTATTAGTTGTTTTGTTTTTCTAATGTACTGTCACACAGTTCCTAATCACAGAAAAACCCTTAAGTTAAATTTAACACATCTGGAGAAGTTGCAGAAGTGGATTTAAAATGTGTCACAATGCATTCTCATTTTCCCCATCCTGCACTGCTGCCCTCACCAGTACAAGCACCTGCAGCATTGGCGTCACCTGCACTTCGCCCCCCGATCAGTTCGAGTTCAGCGTCACAGTTGTTCCATTTCACCGACTGCTCTGCAATATGCTGCAAAACACTGATGGAAAAGATGTAAAGAGACAAAAAAGACAAATATTTTTGCAACTTTTTGTCCAATACTGGCATCCAGCTTCTGTATGATATTGTGTAACTTATCACTTTAAGAGCGACATTGAAATGAATAAAGGATCTATCTATATGGAGGAATAATTGTAGATAAATTAAATTTTACTAAATCCACAATAAGACCTGGCTGTTAGGATTTTTTTTTTTTTTTTTAAATTCAAGTGTTTAAAAAAAAAAGTTCACGCTGAATGTTTTCATGCCAAATTAATAACACTAAATGATTAGTGTCTGTCACTAAAACCTGAAAAGGAGGCATGGCGGGACATCGTACATTTACTGAGAATAAACTATTGTACCCTCACGCGTCTTCTGCTAAACACTTTTCATTTCCCTTGGTGAAAAACTTGTGAATCGATAAAAGATGTGAAAGAGAGTTCAGAAGGATTTCTGATATGGAAACGGCTTAACAATGGGATGATGTGGGGGCGCCGTGCTGAAACTACAGGTGGACTATAAAATCTGCATCTTGGATGCTTCAAACATGTTCTCCTGATTCATGAAAGAAGGAACCACCATGTTTGCTGAATAAAAATAAATACAAATATAATATTTTGAAATGAAATGCTTTCTGAGTTTAGTTGCTTAGTTGCAATCCTGCCTGGCTTTGTGTGACTGGAGTAAAATTGATAATGAAAGCTTGGTGAAACTGCAAACTAAATTATAATAAAGCACACTATTAGTAAACATAGTTGTGAAAAAAGTATCCACAATTATACAGTGCTGTGACTGAGTATACCCCATGACTCAGTTGCAGTGCATGAATTACTCGCAGATATGTTTGCATGTACTGTTAGTGAATCAGGGAGTCGCTTCTTGTTTAATGCCATACATACAAAGCACCAAACTCTTAATGATACATAATGCTTTGTCATAACTGCATTTAATTAGGTTGAGGAAAATATTTTGGATTTCCAGTTACCTTGGAAACGTTAATAAACAAGCTTCACTTTAATGGCACACTCCTGTTGACATAAATCCACCATGACGCATGTTTATGATGACGTTTGTGGGAGAAGTTCACACTTGATGTTATTAAACTGTTGAAAACAGAATGGGACCTTAGCTACAGTCCCATGTTTTCACACAGCCCTGCTCAGTTAGCACACTATCAGCCAACAACCTTGGCTGATAGTGACCCACACCTGTTTTCAACACCTTTGAAAGCTGAGTTCAGTTTCACTAACCACACTCGGGCCTGATTACTGTCAGTCTTGCTGAATCAAGAAATCACTTAGATTAGGATTTTTCTGCCTTCAATACATTAAATCATAGTTTAGGAAGGAAGGAGGAAAATGCTTTTTCACAGCAATACACAAGGATTATTAAAATGTTAAAAGTCCTGCCTCTACAACAGTTGCTTGAAATATTAGAAATTGGTGCAAGCAGAGAAGTATTTGGAGAGTCACATGTCAGGGCTGATTTTCCTGAAACAAAGAACAACAAACTATAAAACAGGAAATTTAAAACTTGCTTGAAGCACATGCTGGTTAAAAGTAAGCCAATTAAGGCAGATGAAGCCATGACTGAGGTGCCATAGTGAAAGCAGCATGAATTACTCATGACTTTTATTTATTACTAGCTGACTGTTAATGACATTTATCAAAATTATTTTTTCTGTGTATTTAATATTTTACTTACCGATTATCTTTTTCTGTATAATATAATCATTTTAAAACATTAACATGTGTAAAGGTTATGATTGATACGGCTTCTGTAATAGCGCAGTTTCACCGCTGGGGGGCAATAAAAACCCTGAAATGAAAATGTGTGGCAGACCTGTTCACAACATGCCATCCATCCCTTTTTTCTTTCTTTCTGTTTCTTTAAATTTTCCATATAAGCAATTATAACTGATCTGGCTTTCAATTTCTCTCACCACTAGGCTTTAGAGATTGTTTAGCTTTTACCTTAACTTACATTAATCAACATCTGTGCAGTGTTACTGTTAGTAAGCAGAGTTTATATAATGTCCACATACACACACACTTAACATAAAGCATAAATGATCTATGCAAACACCGTGATATGGATCGTGCTTCACTGAGAGTAGAACAACACATCACCACACTGTGCTGACCACATTTCTGCAGCTGCTCTCGCTTCCAGACCCTGGGGCTAAACTGATGTGTGAGTTTTTATTGACAGCTCCTCTGTGTGATCCCTGCTGCCTGCCAGCTGTAGCACACAACACTGTACATGACACGCTCAGCACGGTTTGCCTACACAGAAACCAGGCGCTCTGCTTCAGGTGTGCATGTCAATGACTTTTACACACACCACATCAGCAAAATGATCTGTGTAAAATTACAAAACGTGACAGAAAACACACAAACCACACACACACACACACACACACAAATAAAGGATCTATGCAAATACAGCGATACTACAGCAGGAGCCAAACACAAGAGTAAACAAGGGCCAAAGCATATTGTTTTGATTTGGTTGTCAAACAATAAGAAACATAATTAAAATAGTACTAAGCATAACGTAAACTTAAACTGATTTTACAGAAACCACATGTTTATTTTTATGCTCTCAAATATACTGAACTGAGCTTCATTCATTAGATAACCTGGCTGCTAAAAGGTGACACTGATGGTGATGGACTCTTAAAATAAATGTGCATTATCGATATGCTTTTCTACTTTTTCTGATGAATCAAACTGTAAACTGCAGTTAGGGATGAACACACAGGGTGCTGTTGCAACCAAGAGCAGACAGATTATAAATCAGGGATGTTAAACTTATTTTGATCTTATGTGTGCTGGACCGGTTAAAAATGCAATAAAAAATTAAAATTAAATAAATGTATATTAAAATTAATATAAGACAAAGAAGAGCAATTTCAACAGTACGCCTCAGTTTTCCTACATGATAAAGGAATGCTGTAGTAAGGTGTAAAACCTGTGAAACTACAGTAAAAGATAAAAATGTATGTCCTCCACATTTTCCAAAGCCGTGCAGTGGGCCGGATTAGAGTTTCCGAGGGGCCGACTCTGTTCCCCGGGCCCTATGTTTGACACCCCTGCTATAATTAAGATTTTATTTGATTTTACAGTGGGTGAATAGAGAGCAGCAGGTTAATGTAAATGGTTAATGCTTCCTCTGCTCTTGTGTGATTGATCGTGAAACTGCCATGTTGTGTGTGAATCTGTTAACATCGCTTGTTTGGCCTTCAGTCTACTCGGTGTTCATGATAATATTTATATATCTTTGCACTGATCGACCTGGATTTCCTCGCCCCTCCCAGCCTCCTCCCTCCTCTTCCTCCTCTCTCGTCGCGTCCTGTGCTCGCATCTCTCCCCATCCTCTTTTCTTTTTTTTTTCATGGTGGCTGCAGTTTGAAGGGCAAAGAAAATGTTTTGACTGTGAGATTTTATTTATGTTATTGTTGTTGCTGTTGTCTTCTTCTTCTTTTTTTTTTTTTTAAAATTCCGGGGGACTCTCAAGGTTGAGGCGGGCGTCATGACTTTTAAGTGACCACTCTGCCACAGCAATCGGTGATGTAACACGACTGGTTCCTGCTTCCCGGCTAGTCCCCTCCACCACCAGCAAAGCCAGCACATCCAGCAGGAGCAGCTCCACCGCTCGAGCCTTCTTCCCTCGGGGGAAACACTACCACCTGCCGCCACATCTCGCCCCTTATGACCGTCTCAAAGGTGAGTTCCCTTCATCTCCAACTTCTCGCTTTGTGTTGCTTACTTGCCATCACGCACTGGCTGCGTGTGCGGGTGGGACACTTTGGGGGGGTCTGAGCTGCAGCCGGAGTTGGAGCTGTGCCATGCGGCTCCACAGCCTGCTCCCAGGTTGGATTTCAGCGGACGACTTTGCGGCAGCCACGAGGTTTGTTTGCACGCGTTTCATCCACACACACACACCGCTCCAACGTCTTGCTTGGTATTTGACAATGTGACGCAGAAGTGTGCAGCGGTTTCTGTTACACCTGATCCCCCCCCCCGCACACACAGTATAGCACGACTGCATAGCTCTCTGCTGTTTCTCTGTTTGCATGGGTGGAAACCGAAAACCTGCACTGTCAACTTCACCATGTTTAAACGGAGTGAGTACAGTAGTTGATCTAATTGATTATACGTTAAGTGGACACTTTATTAGATACATCTTACTAGTCCTGGGTTGGATCTGCTTTTTGCCTTCTTCATGGCACAGGTGCTGGAAACATCTCTGAGAGATTTTGGTCCATACTGACAGGATGGCACATTAGATGTGCTCTGTTAGACTGAGGTTTGGACTGTGGGTGTCATTACAGTGAAGTCACCTGTGTTCAAGAAACCAGTCTGAGATGATTTGAACTTTGTGACATGGTGTGTTAACTACAGCAACCAGTGGAACATGTCATCATAAAAGGATGGACATGGTCATAATGCTTAGATAAGCCATTATCTGTGGCAAAGATGCTCAGTTGGATCTAAGGATGCCAAAGTGTGCTGAGAAGACATCCTTCACACGATTACATCACCAACATGAACCGTCAATACGAGGCAGGATGGATCCCTGCTTTCATGTTGTTTGCACCAAAACCTGACCCAGCCATTTCAGCGAGACTCGTCAGATCTGTTGTCCAATTCTGGCGAGCGTGTATGAACTGTAGCCTTAATGTGGTCTTCTGCTTCATGCTCTTCTGCGTACCTCGGCTGTAAAGCGTCACTGTTGCCTTTCTGTATGCTTGAGACAGTCTGATGATGGTGTATGAAAATCCCAGTATAGATCACCAGCTTGTCTGCCACATTCAGAGTCACTCAAATCCCCTTTCTTCCTCATTCTGATGCTCAGGTTTAACTTCAGCAGGTCGTCTTGAGCACATCTACGTGTGATTGGCTGATTAGATATGGGGGTTAATGAAAGCAGTTTAATGAATAAAATTGAAAGGAATTGAAAATAGAATTGAATCCATAATTAGGTTTGTTTTAAAAAGTATTTAGATTTTCACATCTAATGATCTCTAGTATTGGAAGTTTAGAAAATTTTAGCTGTGAAATCCACATTTGTCTTTTTTTTAATTCCAGCTATCATTCCAGAGCACACACATGCTTAGCTGTCACGTATGACGGAGAAAAGCACACCGTCCTGAACATTCTCTCTTTTTAATCAAGATAGCTGTCAAATCAAGGCAACAGCTAAAGATGAGCACTTTCACCAAACAAGTACTGAAAAAGATTGATATTAAAATAAAATGCTTCTTCTTTTTCTTTTATATGAAACATAATCCAGTATTTAGGTTGTTGGACAAAGCAGCCTTTTTTAAAAAAAATCTTATTGTTTCTGGTTGTTTTAAAAATATTAGCTCAGCAGAAAACAGTTTATGCATATTTTTAAATAATTCTTTAAAATCGATAACTGAAGTTTTAGTTTACTTTTCATCTTAGCATTAAAGGAAAAAAGTAATCCCTACAGATGGCTAATTAGTTGTCTGGTTAATTTTCAAACAACCTTGTGAACACGTTAGCATTTTAAATAATACTTTTGTTTTGGAAAAGCACTTTGGAAAAGTTGTTTCATTATTCAGGACCTGCGAGTCGCACGTTTGTATTTTTTCTTGGGAGCAAACACAAAATCCAAACAGTGTTACCCTGATAAAGCTGTAATCAAAATGCTGCAGGTCACATCAGCCAGTATATTGTGAATAGATTTGGTGTGCCCGTTCAGTGTAAACACCTCCTTGCTTCTAAGTGAAGCCTGTTATTTCTGCTCTGTGGGTGGCTGGACTCTTTCAGGCCACCAGTTCACCAGATTGTTTGGATCCATTGTGGGGTTTTTTTTTATTCACTTCTGTCTGGATGGGTGTAAATAAACTTAAGACAAAGAAAAATAACAGCTTGAGAGCTGTGTTTAATGAACCGAGTATAATGCTCACCACATGTGGAGCTGTGGGACAAATTTAGGACTTCAGTGCCAGTTGGCTCTTCAAGTGTGGCAGTGCACATCAGTTTCAATGAAGGCCGGTCCAGAGCGTGCGCCGTGATTGGACCAAACGAATATTTGTATAATTTTCAGATGTTTTTTATCAAATTCTTCCTTCTGTTTTATTTTTCCAGAAGTTGTGGTTAGTTGGTTCAGCGAAAGTCCCATTTCACTGCATTTATTGTCGCAGTTTGATATTGATATTCTCAATTTTCCTGTAGCATTAGATAAAAACAGAGGTTTGTATCCAAGGTGAATATTTGGGGGGGATGAGACTGCAGATTTTTGTAAACCTTATCCAGTCTGTTTGGGAGTCACTCCGAGTCACAGCGCAGTGTTTGGAGACAGGTTGCCTCCCACCAGGTGACCTGTTCAATTCCTGGCCCACATAATGAGGCGTTGGCTCTGTGGAACCAGTTGGTCGTCGGAGCTAATCACAAACTGTTGCTGAAAGTGGAAAAAATCGATTTAATCAGTGGGCAGCCATTTTTTTCCCTTCCTCTCTTCCCAAGTCAAAACAAGGGATTTTTACTCTATTTTTATTCTACTGTGACAGAGCCGTACAGTGTTTTGGTTTGGTGCGCATGCAATGTTTTTAATCCTTTTCTACACTTTTATCACTAACACCTTCAAAATTAGCTCAAAGAACAGTTTACATTTATTAATGAGCCTCATCAATAATAAACCCAACTTAGGCCAGCCCAACTTACTGCTTCCAGCTATTGGTAGGAGTCTTTCCTGTGAGATTCATGCAGCTTTACAGGGTTAGCTACATGAGTATCCATTTGACAGATGAGCTGTTATAACGTCACAACTGAATCATGCATTACACAGCAGCTTTCTTCAGGTTGAGTCACGAGTGACGCCATCAGGGTGTTTTTTTTTGGTGATCATTTCTATTAAAGCCCCTTTTGCAGCTTTTAGGGACTTGACTTTGAAATCTGCTTCTTTTTAAAAAAAAAAAAAAAAAAAGAAATTACGGATTAATAGGTTACAGGTATATTTGTGACTTCTCAAATCCATAAAACAACAAACAAAATATATCAATGGGTATCCTAGCAACCTTGAAAACAGACTTTAAGGTTGCTGATATGGCTAGATAAAACATCGTCACCCATGGACATACTTTCCACTGTTCAACAGGTTAGGAAATCATAAATGAACTAATAAAAAAGTTTGGTCATCAACCCCGGCGGCAACGCTGGGTTGGTGATCATTAAATTTATCAAGCTGAAACTGTCAACCCCACCTGTTAGCTCGAAAGTGGCAGCCCTGACTGTTAGGTGGAAACAATTAGCTCCCCCATGACTATGACATATTTTCACTCTGCACTGATTAAACTTAATAAGATCCAAGTTCAAGGCTCCTTTCGGGGCTGACCTCAGACACCAGTCTGGCCTTTCCGCCCATCTTTATGCTAAGCTAAGTAGCTCCTAAACACTTTCCAAGCATTTAACACTCAAAAAGAAGCTCCAAAAATGTCGAGCTGCTCCGTTTAAAGGTGTAAAATAATAGTGTTTAGTTTAAGAATTGACCTTTGGCTCCTTTTTAAAATATTTCCTAATGATATACTAACAGTTCGCTGCTCCCCCTCTTTGGGAATTTTATCAGAGCGCATGAGATAAACGGCGAGGTCAGTTACCGCTCTTCAGCTTGGCGGAGGCTTGATGCAAATTTTTCTGCGCGCCCCTGACAAAGAAAAGTCTGTAGCTAATGAACAGCAAACATGTTTTTGGGGTTGCGCAGAGTTTAAGACTAAAGCGTGTCAGTTTGAGGCACGACTTTTGGTGCCGTGCTGTGTGGAGAGGTGTCATACCAGCTCTCGAGTTGTCTAATTAGGCCTCATCCACCTAATGGCCAACCTGCTGCCAAAAAGAGCATTAGACTAATGAGTTTGCCACACGTCTGCACTTGTGTGAAACAAAAATCTCCCGACCACAAATGAACCCTCCCTGCTGTAGCCGGCTTTGAACTCGGTGAAAATTCTTGACAGTCTCATTTTTAACGAGGTGTTTGTGGGATTTGAAGGCACCACAGGCTCTTCTGTTTAAATCCACTGTAGAGAGAGTAAAAAATCTGCTGTGCACTTTCATGTTAGGGCCATAAAATGCTAACCTGGCATGTCATCACACAGACTGTTAAACACATACCTGAGATTCCCTCGCTTTGTCCAGCCTGTGACGTGTGCTGTTTGCTATGTAGGTCCTCGTTTCTTCAGAATCTCTGAGCAGAGCCTCTTTTGTTTTTTTGTTTTGTTTTTTTTCCTGCTGTGGAAATACTTGGCTGTTTATCTTGTAGTATAACTTAATGTCACTCACATCCGGAGCAGTGATGAGGCGCTTGCTGCTGCTGCTGTTAGGAGTCAGTCTTTCCTTCTGTAACACCTGCAATGAACTGAAAGTGTGCTTTTGAGCAAACATGCCCTTGAATCAACCCGATGACCTGAGCGCTAGAAAATCTGTGCTGGATATATGCGGCTGTTAAGCTGCTGTTGTGCAATAAAGTGAAGACAAACCTGTTGTTGCGGGCCATTTAGTCCCCTGTATGACTGCAGCCAGAGCTTGGTTTGCATTTCCAGCAGTAACCTGTAACCTGTGGGAGGCCTCAGGGTGAGGCAAGGCATGTATCTCCCAGCTGGCTTGGAAAGACCTCAGTATCACACTGGAAAAGCTGGAAGAGGTGTAGAGGGGGGCCTAGGCGCCCTAGCAACCCAGACCCAGGCAAGCAGCAGAAGCTGGAT